GGTGGCAAATGCCCTGTGGGGGTGGTTGCAACAATGGAAACAAAGTGGCTGGCAGCATAGATGCAAACCTATCTGGACTGCTGACTCATGGCAAGATATTGCTGTTCAAGTAGAGAACTTGTCTGTGAAAGTACGCCATGTAGATGCTCATGCACCCAAAAATCAAGCGATGGAAGAACATCAAAACAACCATGAAGTGGACCAAGCTGCTAAAATTAAGGTGGATCAGGTGTATCTGGACTGGCAACATAAGGGCAAAAAATTTATGTCTCGCTGGGCCCATGACTCCTCAGGCCATCAAGGAAGAGATGCAACCCATAGATGGGCTTGTGACCGAGGGGTGGACTTAACCACAGACACTATTGCACAGGTTATCCATGAATGTGAGACATATGCTGCTATCAGGCAAGCCAAGCGGTTAAAACCTCTTTGGTATGGAGGGTGATGGTTAAAGTATAGATATGGGGAGGCCTGGCAGATTGATTACATCACGCTCCCACGAATCTGCATGGTAAGCGTTATGTGCTCACAATGGTGGAAGCAACTACTGGATGGCTGGAAACATATGCTGTGCCCCATGCCACTCCTCAGAACACTATTCTGGTCATTGAAAAACAAGTCCTGTGGAGACATTGCACCCCAGAAAGAATTGAGTCAGAAAATGGCACTCATTTCCAAAATAATCTCATAAACACCTGGGCCAAAGAACATGGCATTGAGTGGGTATATCACATCCCCTATCACGCACCAGCCTCTGGGAAAATTGAGCAGTACAATGGGCTACTAAAGACCATGGTGAGATCAATGGGAGGTGGAACTTTTAAACACTGGGACACACATTTAGCAAGAGCCACCTGGTTAGTAAATAGTAGGGGATCTGCCAGCCAGGCTGGCCCTGCCCAGTCAAAGCTTCTGCGTACTGTAGCTGGAGATAAAGTCCCAGTAGCGCACCTTAAAAACATGCTGGGGAAGACTGTCTGGGTTATTCCTACTTCAGGTAAAGGTAAGCCCATATGTGGAATTACCTTTCCCCAAGGACCTGGGTGCACTTGGTGGGTAATGGAGAAGGATGGGGAAATCTGATGTGTGCCTCAAGGGGACTTAATGTCAGGTGAAAGTAGCCAATAAATTGAAGTGTATTAGGTCAATCACCAAACAACCATATCAATGCATTGCTATGGTTGACACATTATACTAATGGCATCACATTCATGAAGGAACACATGAAATTGGATAAAGTCAGGATTGGCTTCAGCAAATGATACCCAGCGACTGCCACAGACTGTGAATACAGATAGCACCAGATACATCAGCCACCAGCTCCAGCTGTAACAGGGACTGCATGCCATCCTCCCACCAGGTTCAAGGCCATCTGTGCCCAACTGACTGAGCATTACTCCTCCTGCCTTAAAAGACTGTTATGACAGATGGAACCTGAAGTTACGGACCAAATGAGCTCACGATACATTCTGCAGTGACGGTCCAGAGACTGAGGGAATGATATCTGTGTGCACATGCCTAAGACCAGGGAAAAGGATAGTGATTAATTAGAATATATTAGGAAATATGGAACTTGAGCATAACGTAAGTGATACAGAATAAAGGGTGGATACTGTCCTGGTTTGGGCTGGAATAGAGTTAATGTTCCTTTTTGGTAACTAGAATAGTGCTGTGTTTTAGATTCAGCATTGGGTTTGGTATGAGAAGAATGCTGATAGCACACTGATGTTTTCCAGTGCTACTGAGATTTAAAGGACTCTTCAACTCCCCATGTCCTGCCCGTGCACAAGTGCACAAGAAGCAGGGAGGGAGCACGGCCAGAGCACCAGACCCAAATTGGCCAATGAAATATTCCACATCATGTAACATCATGCTGACTACATAGGGGAGGGGTGGTCAGGAAAGGGGGCTCTCTCTCGCTTCCGGGATTGAGATTGTGGGATCTTGGAATTTCAGGATCGCTATCCGGGAACAGGCTGGGTATTGGTCAGCGGGTGGTGAGCAATTGTATTGTGCATTGACCATTTATATTTGCTATTGCTGTCATTGTTTTCATTTTATTACTATTATTAAACTGTTTCTATCTCAACCTCTGAGTCTCACTTTACCCCTCCAATTCCCTCCCCCATTACCAGGTGGGAGGGGAGGGTGGGTGAGTGGCTGTGGGGTGGTTGACTGCCAACCAGGCTCAAACCATGACACTATATCTTCCTCTATAGTGGGAAATATCACATTTTTACATGTCTTGCCAGTATACCCAGGGGTCCAAGAGACCTGAGGATAGATCTCACCAGTAAAATATCAAGTCTAAGCAAGGCACTGACTATGTTGGCTTTTGTCACTAGGTTTCCCAATTCATTCATCACTGGAACACACTTTAATTAGTTTTCATTATGCTGCCCATGTACTTAGAGAAGTCAGTCATGGATTCACAGAACCACAAAATGGTTGAAGTTAGAAGGGATCTCTGGAGGTCATCTGGTCCAACCCCCTGCTGAGTCTCATGAGTCAGTTTTCCAGGCATATGTGAAGATCACTCTGGAATATCTCCAAGAATAGAGACTTCACAACCTCCCTGGGACATCTTTGCCTGTGTTCAGTCACCCTCACAGCAAAAAAAAGTGTTTCCGTATGCTCAGACTGAGCCTCCTGCATTTCAGTTTGTGCCCATTGCCTCTATTCCTGTCAATAGGCACCACTGAAAAAAGACTGTCTCTGTCCTCTTTGCACCCTCCCTTCTGGTATTTATATAAACTGAGATAATGAATATTGTGGCCGTGGGTTCACAAAGCAAAAGTCCTGTCTAATTTGATATCCTTCTACAATAAGGTCACCCACCTAGAAGATGAAAAGAAGGGGGTAGATGTATTTTTCTGGATTTTAGTAAGGCTTTTGATACTGTCTCTCACAATATCCTTCTGGAGAAGTTGTCCAACTGAGATGAGCTGGTACACAGTGTGCTAAGAACTGGCTGAGTGGCAAAGATCAAAGGGTAGTGAATGGGGTTAAATATGGCTAGTGGAAAGCCCCTAGCAGTGTTCTCCAGGCTCAATTCTAGGCCAGTTCTGTTTAATTTGCTTGAGTGTGTCCAGAGGATGGCAACAAAGCTGGTGAAAGGGTTGGAAACCATGTCCTATGAGGAGGAGCTGAGGACACTCAGTTTGTCTAGCTTGGAGAAAAGAAGGCTGATGGGTGACCTCATTGCTCTCTACAGTTTTCTGAGGAGGGGAAGTTGAGAGGGAGCTGCTGATCTCTTTTCCCTGGTATCCAGTGATAGGATGTGTGGGATGGGCTCAAAGCTGCATCAAGGGAGGTTCAGACTTGACCTTAGGAAACATTTGTTTACTGAGAGGATGATCAAACCCTGTAACAGTCTTTCTAGAGAGGTGGTTGATGTTCCAGGTCTGTTAGCATTTAAGAGGTATTTGGACAATGCCTTTAATAATATGCTTTAACTTTTGATCAGCCCTGAATTAGTCAGGCAATTGGACTAGATGATTGTCATAGGTCCCTTCCAACTGAACTATTCTATTCTATTCTATTCTATTCTATTCTATTCTATTCTATTCTATTCTATTCTATTCTATTCTATTCTATTCTATTCTATTCTATTCTATTCTATTCTATTCTATTCTATTCTATTCTATTCTATTCTATTCTATTCTATTCTATTCTATTCTATTCTATTCTATTCTATTCTATTCTATTCTTTCTATTCTATTCTATTCTATCTTATAAGATCCTCGCTGACCCTTCTCCTCCCCAGGCTGAACAGTCCCAGCTCTTTCAGCCTTTCTCCAGTGGAGAGGTACTCCAGTCTCCTCATCATCTTCATGGCCTTTTGTGTGGACCAGAGCATGTCCAAGTGCCTCTTGTACTGGGGAGCCCAGAATTGGATACAGCTTTCTAGGTGTGATCTCACCAGTGCTGAGCAGAGGGGAAGTATCACCTCCTTTGACCTGCTAGCAATGTTTTGCTTAATGCAGCCCAGGATACCATTTGCCTTCTTTGCCACAAGGGCACATTGCTGGATCATGTTTAACTTGCTATCCACAAGGAACACCAGATCCTTTGCAGCAACACATCTTTTCAGCTGGTCAGCCTCCATCATGTACTAGTGCCTGGGGTTGCTCCTCCCCAGTTGCAGGACTTTGCACTTCTTGATGAACTTCATGAGGCTCCTGCTGGCCCATTTCTTCAGACTCTGGAGGTTCCCTCTGGATGGCAACATGACCCTCTGGTTTATCAATCACACATCCCAGTGCTGTGTCATCAGCAAAACTGCTGATGGTGCACTCTGTCCCATTGTCCATGTCAGTCATGAATATGAATAATGACCCTAGTATTTACCCCTAGTCACCACTAGTGATTGGCCTCTAGCTAGACTGCTGTTGAAACTTCTGGGGGATTGACATGAGGTCGTTCTTTCTCACTTGTAAATTACAGATGCAGCAAAGTGCATCCCCTTATCATGTGTTCTGTAATTTGTGTGAAGCCATTTTCTTCAACACTGTCCAGAAAACTTTTAGCTTGCTTGCATCTGTCAGGAAGATGCAGTATCAGGGCTCCCCCATAACAGAAAGAGTTAGAGGCCAAAGGTAAACAATACGGGCTGTGCTCCTCACAAAACAGCGTGCAGTCCCATAGGATCAGAAAAAAATGAGCAAAGCAAAGATTCCTACATGCGGTTCCCGTTCCACACTGCCCTGCTGTTAGACAAAATCAAATATAGGTAATTCTGCCCAGCACACTCTTGAAAGTTTCACTCCTTCTTAGCAATTCTACAGGAGAAAGTGCCTGGTGTACCCTGTTTATTAATGCTATTCAGAAAGCAAACTCTAGATCCAAACTATAAGCAACATCACAGGTTTGTTACTTTTGGCCTCTCTCCATCCAGGAAGAATCATCTTCCCAGCACCAGCCTCATGATATTCTCACATTCTGAAGTTTTCCCCATGGGCAGAGTGGGAAATGCCCAGAAGAACCTTCAAGTCTCTTACCACAATTCTTTAAGGTGACAGGCAGGGTGTTTCAGCCCTTCACATAGCAGACGCACTCCAGCATCTTCAAGGGCATTGGCGCCCATCCCCAGCTCCATCAGGGTCTGGTTGGTGCTCAGCACAGTGGCCAAATCCCCACAGCAAGCATCTGTGAGACTGCAACCCCACAACCTGCAGGGAAGAAGCACAGAAAGGGCCCAGGGTTTCAGACCATGTCTGCTTTGATAAACACAACCATCATCCCCTCTCCTAGTCAATCAACAGAAAATGGCCAGAAACCCTGTTCATAAGTGCCCAATGTCAGGCCAGTACCAGACACATTGTCTGACCAGTGTCATTTACCTCCTCTCAGCCAAAAAGGCCCTTGTTTGAGCCTTTTACCTCTGATGAATCTTCAGCTAGGGGAGAGGAAGGGATCTTTGAGCTGCCCTCTAGTCCTATTTGAAGACCAATACAAGCCCCACTTGGGCACGACACAGACTCTCAACAGAGTCACCTGACAGCTCAGCATGGAAAGGAACTCAGAAGTTCTCTAGTCCAATATACTGCTCAAAGCAGGTTTGTCTATGGGGTCAGACCAGGATCTTCAGCCTCTTCTCATAATGCTTGAGTTCCAGCCTCCCACATTCTTGGTGCCCTCTGTTAGACATATGCCAGGGAAAGAAGCCCGAGAGAACTGGGAGAAGAGATCTGTGGAAAGCAGATCTCCAACAGACTTGGTTCAAGGCATGCTGGTGTCTGATTCAGGGCCCAGGGAGTTAGTCACTGACTGCATAAATGCAGCTGCAACTAGCCATGACCATTTTGCGTTCTGGCCACTGTTAAGCCCTTTGGTCTTTCAGAGAGACTTTGCAGGTACTGCTTGGTGAAAGTCACCAACTCCTTGAGCTGACAATTCAGAAGTCACACACAGAGACACACTTCCATTAGCCATGACCAGGAAATCCTCTTCTCAGTGGGCTCTCTTCCAGTGTGAGATTCTTCTTTAAGACAGGCTGTTTTCACTGAAAGTTTGCATATTTTATCATATTTTACAGGGAGCTAAAATGAGATTTAAAAAGCAGGATTAATCTTCATGGGTGAGGGAGAGTTCAGAAAAGGGAGAGTATATAAAAAGAAGAAAAGCTTCCCTCTGGCTAAAACAATAAACTTGGTAATGCACAATTTCCTCATTTGTACAGGAAACAAATAATTGGTTAGTGACAAGGAATTAGGCCTGAAAATTTTTGAGACAAATCCAGAGGAAAGCACAGCCCCTGCCTAAGCACAATGCAAAAAGACTTTCTTACATAATCAAAATGGGAAGGAGCCATAGAATAAGTCATTCATGAGGGGTATCAACAGAGGGAATCTCTTGAAGAGTGAGAACAAGAAGGGAAACAAATGACTAGGGAGGACTGGAAGATTAAAAGAAAAAGGAAGCATCGGGTTCTTGCTTAAAGAGATATTTGGACAGGTTTGAAAAGGAAGAGTCAGGTTATTGCATCTGGCTATTCCTCTACTTTTTGAGAAAAGATGAAATAGTGAAGGAAGATGAAAAGCAGAAACACTCTCAGTGAAATTCCTCTTTGAAATGACAACACAGCCACGAAATAAAGTCAAAGCATGCTGTGAGAGCAAGAGTTCCAAAGGCATGCATCAAAGATATGAGTGCCTTTGAGGAGAAAGGACAGTGAAGGAGAGAGCAAGACAGCAAGCTCCATCCAACTAATCATAGTGGACAGTGTATGCACCTTTGCAGGGCCAGGGATATTCTGGCAAAGAGGTCTGCTGTACAATTCTTGTCTTCTGTTAGACAACTCCTATGCTTGGCATATTTCCCAAAGTGTAGGCCCTGTCTATTCATGGCAGCATTCTGAGGCTTCTTGACAAAGAATGTCTTAAATACTTTTTTACTCTCTATTTTTATGCTGTCAAGCTGCCCTCTTCTTGCTTTGGTGGACTAGCATGGTCATTTTAATTGCCCAGCCTCCTTGCATTGCTTTCAGGGGTCATTTCCTTTTGAATAGGTTCATTAGATCATTTAATAAATCTTCAGAGCATTCACAATATTGCTCTCCTCCCTCACTGTGGTATCAGTCAGGAAAAGCTAAGTAAAACTTCCATTGCTGAATGATGTAAGATTTCCGAATTCCTGTGTTTCTGAGTTGTTCTTGTCTTCCAGTTCTATTGTCTTCTGTTGGGCCCAAGAGCTTCCTGAAATTTTGCTACAGTACAGAACTTTTTGATTCTGAGCTGAATTGTGAGGCCAGGAAGATAAAGAAAGGACTTTCAGCTGGCACAAGGGATCTCTGTGCAGGCAACTCTGTCAAGATCTTCAGTTTGTCTGGAGAAAATATATTTTACTTGTTTTAGTGGATCTCCAATTGCAACTACCAGGAATGATTCACTGTTGGGATTTCTCCCTTGTACCAGTATTCACTAGAGTGATTAATTTTCTTCAAGAGCAGAATCCTATTTGCTGACCTACGTTGAGGTGTTATAAAGCAGGTGCCTTCTATGAAGCTGGATGCCTGTGCTTCCATAAAAGTAACAGGAGATATAAGGCTGAATTCTGTTGCTTAAACAGAGGCATCTAGTGTCATTGAAAGTATTCCAGGCTAACTCAGAAATTCACCTGGAGCTGACAAAGATAACAGAAAACTTACACAGGACCTCTGTTCTTCTGGAATGGAAGCTGGAGGACAGGAAGGGTGTGTGGGTAGATCATCTGACTGCAAAAGGGAGATGCATGACCAGGCCACATGCCAATAGATAACCATGGTCACAGTGGACTAAGGAAGACCTTGAAGATTCCAAGAGATAGGGGACTGAATCTCCATGTTAGTCCTAATCTGGCTGTCCCAAAGAATGTCCCTGACCTTAAACAAGTCATCCAGGGATCATCTACTTTGCAAGAAGAAAGTAACCTTCAGAGAACTCCTGTTCCTGTCAGGGAAGGAGAGTTTTACACCATGGTAAACCACACATGAGCTGGGAAGCTCCTTTCATTAGGTCACACACAGTCTTCCAGCATTACTTCATCTGGGCTTTCAGAGGGTCAGAGCTGAAGAGACCAGGGTCAAGGAAATAAAGTGCCTGGAGGGCTCTGCCATTCCCCATTCTATATAGCAGCAAGTCAGGCTGGGAGCACTGGGTAAGTGGTGGACCAATACCTGAGACACACATCACCCTTGGTCTTTCTTCAGTGTTGGAGGTAGAGCTCCTTATCCCCAAACACACATTTTCTCAAGCTCCCCCATGAGACAGTCTGGGAAATGACCAAAGGGAATGGTCCTTACCCCAGTACCCGCAGCTGGCAGGCAGGGTGTTTCAGCCCCTCACATAGCAGGTGCACTCCAGCATCTCCCAGGGCGTTGGCTCCCAGCCCCAGCTCCAGCAGGGTCTGGTTGGTGCTCAGCACAGTGGCCAAATCCCCACAGCAGGCATCTGTGAGACTGCAACCCCACAACCTGAAGGGAAGAAACACAGAGAGGGCCCAGGGTTTCAGACCATGGGCCAATATAACTTTTATAACCCCAATCACCAACCCCTGTCCTGATCAATCAACACTGGCAATGGCCAGAAACCCTGTTCAGAAGTGCCCAATGACAGACTGGTGCTGGACACACAGTCTCTTCCCTGTCCTGGAAATCTGATCTGATTTCCAGTCTTTTCTGTCTTTGGTCTTCCCTATGAACCCTCTAAAGAGAAGATAAAACCAGTAGGAAAACTTGGTCACAGGGATTTTGTCAGAGCATGAGCTATGTGACACTGCCTGCTAGTGCTTCAGTTGATGTCACCACAGGCATAGGGCTGGATTCCACTGCCTAAGAAGGAGTGTACAGTGCCATGTGCCTCAGGGCAACTCAGATACCCTGGTGGGGGTATCTGAAAGGGACTACACAGGTCTTACACAAAAATCCTAACTCTCTGAAAGGGTTTGCTGGAGTCCCTGGACAGCATATGCAAAGTAACTGACTAGAAAAGGAACCATGACTTACTACACATCAGCACATCACCATAGCTGCAGTGTGGTAACGCAGACTTGGTGTATAACTAGCGTGAGGGGACTACAGGTCAACACTGGGGAGGCTATTCGAAAGAATATGCCTGAGTATAAGCTGGTTGTCCAGAGAGCATTTATTTAACAGAAAGGTTCAGAGGAAGATTCACCTGACAGGGAGGAAGAATCTCACTCAAGAATGATGAATCCTTCCAGGAAGAGTGGGTTTTTTTGTACCCAGACAGATCATATGCCTGCTTACCTTCATCACGTGGTCCTTTGGGCCTGTCTGTGGATACCTGAATTAGCATTTTGCATGCCACAGAGAAGGGTACATGGAGGATCACCTCCTTTACACTTGATTCATATAGTCTTACCAGGACAGGCTGGGAGCATGCAGTGAGCAGTGACTGAGCATGAAAGAGACACACCACTCATCCTTTCCTCATCCCTGCAGCTTCCAGGCCCAGCCACAAGCCCCGTCAATGTCCCAGACTGGGAAATCCCCTGAGGAGTATGCTTGCTGTTCCTCACCCCAATCTCTGCAGCTGGCAGGTGGAATGTTTCAGCCCTTCACACAGCAGTCGCACTCCTGGGTCTCCCAGAGCATTTCCACGCAGTCTCAGCTCTGTCAGGCACTGGTTGGTGCTAAGCACCATGGCCAGAACCCCACAGCAAGCAGCTGTGAGTTTGCACCACTCCAGCCTGTTGGGGAGATACACAAAGAGCAAGTGCCACTCTCAGAACCAGTGCGGAGCAGACCTGGGTAGTCCAGGACCATGTCAGGAGTCCTGCACTTCACTAGCAGCTCACCACCCAGGGCAGCAGCCTCCCTCAGCCAGTCCCCTCCTGGAATAGCTCAAGTAGGTCTCTGGCCCTGTCCTTCTGCCCTGGTCACCCAGTAGCTTGGGGAGGAGGGGGTTCACAGCCCCACCTCAGCCCTCTCCAGGGACCAATCCAGCACTGCTCTTCTGGTGCCACCCACACTGGTGCTCTGCCATAGATGACACGGAGTTAAACCCAGCAGGCAGTTGGCTGCAGGCTGTAATGGCAGTCACCTGCCTGGGCAGCTGGGTCTTACTCTCCATGGGCAACTGGCCATCTCATTTCCCTCCAGCCCTACATGTGCTTTCTGGGCCCTGTGTGACCGCTATCTATCTGTCATGGCTCTCCCTCTCCCCTCAAGGCTGATATCTATGCTCAGGCCTGGGCAGAAGCACCTGACAGACCTTGCACAGCCAACCTCATCATTTTCTCCTTCTAAGCATGGGAAGTGGGCTGGAGGCAGCCTGGGCAGGGAATTCCAGTACAAAGGGACCTCTGAGGTTTTGGGGTATGAAGTTTCCTTCAGAACTCATTGCCTTGCATGCAAGGTCCCTACCAAGTCTGGCTTAGCTCCCTGCTGGTGTTTGTAGGTTCTCTAAAGATGTGTATAGATAAGAGCTATGTTTACATCCAAGCTCAGACAAACAGGTGGCTACACAAGAGATATGCTGTGTAGGGCTATCATAGATTTGTGTCTTGCTGACATTCTGAGTTGATACCAAACACAGCCCAGTGCTGTTTCCAGTGAAGAGAGGAAAACCTTCATCAGGCCTATACATTTCATTCTCTGACACTTTTTATTTACGACCTCAAGATGTCAGTAAAGAGCCAGCTATAAACAAAGAGAGGAAAATACCTGTTTCCTTTTTTGATCCTAAATCTTAACTTGGAGTCAGTGATAAAGTTTATATAATTATGATATTTTTATTCATTTAACTCAAATGTGACTAAGTTTACATAAGGAAAGGTATCTCATTCCTAAACCTATTTTGTACTCCAATCGTTTCCCATAACTACTTTGTCATATCAACGGCCCCCAGTTTGTTACTGGTATCAGTGACTTATACCAAAACAATATCACTGAATTTGATGGCAATTCAACATTTCCAAAACCTCTTGAAAAACATTACTGCTCTCATAAGAGCATCAGTAAATAGAGTTGTTCTGCTAGAGAGTGTGGGAAGGAGGAAAAATAATAAAGTTAGGGGTTTTTTGGCTGTTTTTGTTTTCTGAAAGAAAATAACTTTTTACCTTAAGATCTTTAATGTACAGTTTGGATCCTTCAGGGATTGACAAAGCCAGTAAATAGGTGATTTCTTCAAGTAAATAGGTGACTGCTTTTCTCTGGGAAAAAAAAAAAAAAAAAAAAAAAAAAAAAAAAAAAAAAAAGTGAAAGCAGAGGTTAATTTAATATTATTCTCTGGCTATAGTTTGCATTTATGCTTAAAAAAACATTAAACTAGTGCCCTCACATGTGTAATGTTAAATGGCAGAATATTCTGCAGTCACAGTTCAAAGCAAATCACCTTGGTAAACACATATAATACCTCACCAGGGACTGAGTGACAGCTGCTTGAAACACTACCTGTGCACCATGTGTACTAAAAGGATCTATGTGGATGAATTCTGATTATTCATGATACCTTTGTTTGTGGTATATCTCAAGAAAATGTTCTGTGCTCTGAAATTCACATGCCCAAGCAAATACTATTTGGTTAAGGGTACATTATACAAAGTGCAACAGTTATTCATATGCTTGCACCTTAAAACAGAAGGAGCGGCCCCATGCAGGTAGGGGTCTTTCATTTGTAGTAACAGGAGGATTAAGCAGAATTTATTTGTGTTAGTATGCTACAGCACAGAAAGCCATTGAGTTAGAGAAGCCTGGGAAACTGTTATCCTTGGATCACTACAGTAACTTTGTGTGTAGTCCTGCCTACAGAGCAAAACATACCTGTGCAGATCTGGGGTCTGTTCCCAGATAGCTGGGAAGTGTCCCCAGAATTACACTGGGCTGTTGGTGCTGTCTGCCTCTTCTGTAACAATGATTCTCAGAGTTGTGCTGCCTCCATAAAAAGTGCCTGGTTGGGCACTTCATGAGTATCACATAGCTCTTAGAAGAACAAATGTGCTTGGGCAGAACTCCATCTCATTGTAGCTGTTTTGCCCCTGATACCTGACCAAGCTGAGTTAATTCTCTACTTTATAGCATCATGTGGTACAAGTATATCATGAGGAAAAGAACAAGAAAAACAGACTGGTATCGCTTATCACACATGGTAGTTGAGTGTCCTGGTTTCAGATAGAATAAAGTTAATTTTCTTCCTAGTAGCTGGTGTGGTGCCATGTTTTGGATTTAGGATGAGAATAAAGTTGCTAACACATATATTTAAGTTGTTGCTAAGCAGTGTTTATACACAAGGACTTTTCAGCTTCTCATACTGTCCTGCCAGCGGGGGCTGGGAGTACATAAGGAGCTGGGAGGGAACACAGCAAGGACAGCTCACCCAAACAAGCCAAAGGCCAATTCCATACTGTATGATGTCATGCTCAATAGATAAACTGGAGGGAGCTTACCAGGGGTCACCGTGGCTCTGGTATTGGCTGGGCATCTGTCAGCAGGTGGTAAGCAGTTGTATTGTGCATCACTTATTTTGTATATTCTATTATTATTATTATTGTTGTTATTGTTATTATTAATTTTCCTTTCCTTTTCTGTCCTACTGAACTGTCTTTATCTTAACCTACAAGTTTTATTTTTTTTTCCCAATTCTCTCCACCATCTCACTGGTCAGGGGCAGAGAGAGAGCGAGTGGCTGTGTGGTGCTTAATTTCCAGCTAGGGTTAAACCATGACATTGAGCTCTAAATACTCAGATCATTACCCCTTAATATGGAAAGCAGGTTTGTACCCATAACCAAAAAATCAACAGTATGCTATGTTTTGTTGTGCTCAAAGGGAAAAGGCCTATATTTGTTCTGCCTACAGGGGAAAAACTCCCCTTGGCTTTTACTGGGTCTAGGTATCACCTGCTGTCTTCTCAGGATCTAGCATTTGGTAGAGAGCCTCAGCAAAGTTGTTTGACCTTAACCAAAGTGGGATCAGGATGAGACATAGAAAGGGGTTCTGTTCTCAGGGACATGTAAGGGTCATGGAGAGCTGAATGGGCTGTTCCCTCCCTGCTTTTAAAACTTGTTGACACAGTGAAAACTTCATTTCAAGTCTTTGATTTCAAGAACACTAGCAATTAATAGGAGGGCAAGTGGAGAGGAAGCCCTGCATGGGATCACATTTGTGTGGGACTGTATTTGAGACTAACACGTCCTAAGACAGTGTGTACAAGGAATCCAGACAGTTCACTAGTTTCACCACACTCCATAGTTTTCTCCTGAGTTTAGTCAGTGGTGACTACAAAGTGATATCACTTGACCAGCCAGTAGGGAACTATCTGAATGTTAGATGACGTGCACTCTGGTTGTCTTTCATTACAAAGGAAACTTAGTCACTTAGCTGACACACACTCTTGTATTTGCAAGCTTGCTCTTGAACTGACTCACATAGTAATTACTAGTGCAACATCCCATTAGGCTCATCAAAAAGTAGCTTCTATCATTACACCTTCACTTTAGGAAAAGTTTAGCCTTAATTTTTTGGTAAGTAAGCCAGTAATTTCTTGGTTACTGAAGCTCTTTCAGTTGCTAAGATAATTTGCAAGTTAGGGACCAAGGATTTTACTTACAGATGTGACAGATTTGCTAGATCTTGGTCTAAATGTTCCTCATGGTGTTCTGAGATAAAGGAGCAATAGGCCACGTCAAGTGACTCCAGTCTAGGCCACTTTTTTATGCTGAAAGAAAGAACTATTTGATCTAATTGGGTGAAATTGATGTCTCGTAGATATATTCCAATGAAATAACCCAATGCAGTTTTCACAAAACTTTCATCTTGGATTTCATACAAACAGTGGCAAGCCTCCAAATCATGAATCACTGCTATTTTCTCTGCATTAATAGCTAACGCTGTTTTTTTGCTAGTTCGAAGCCACATCAGTAATTCTTCCTTAATTTCAGGATAAATTTTGCACCCTGTTTCTTTTTCCAAAGCATTTCTTTGTTCCTTATTTAAGAGACCAAATAGGAACCGCACAGTTAACATGAAATCATTTCTTGAGTTTTCATAGTTTTCTAACAATTTTTTCACATCCCTTTTAGGATCTTCTTGCTTATCTCTTGTCTCACTATCATCTTCTAGTACATAGAACAGAGATGCAAAAAACTCTTGAACACTCAAATGAATGAAACTGTAGGCACTCCCACAAACAATGCCCTTCTGAAAAGTGCTTTCATTCAAAAAAAGTGGGAGAGTGTCTCTCTGATTTAACAAGAGTTCACTGATTGCCTCCTCCTCAAAGAGGACTCTCTGCTTCCAGATCCCATCAGCAGCCAGGCAACAAAGTCTTTTAATGATAATGTGCAAGTTCTGTTTCAACTTGCTGCTCAGAGATTTTAGTAAGATGGACACATAAAGGATATATATTCCTGTAGTTGTCTTGACAGTTTGTGCAAGATCTTTACCACTTTCAAGTTGTTGTTTCATAACAGTGCAGACAATCCAGCATGTGATGGGGACAAGGCACATGGTGAAGACCATTTCATTTCCTTTAACAAACTGAAATACCTTCCTTCCCTCTTCCTTATTTTCAAAAAACTTGTGGAAATATTCTTCCCTATCAGTTGCTGAAAATCCCAGTATTTCAGCAGAGCGTTCACACACCAAGCACTGTTCCAGCTTCTGCAGCCCAGCTGGTCTTGTTGTGATCAACAGGGAGCATTCAGGGAGAAGGATTTTCCTAAATAAACTGTTCAGGATGATTGCCACTGGCTTCATCTCCCAGGGGTCAGAGCACAGGTTATTTTGTGGCCAGTCCAAAGAAAATCTCAGTTCATCAAAGCCATCGATGACAAACAGGAGCTTTTCTGGTCTCTTCAAGATCTCTACAAGAGGTGGATTGTTACTGGGACAGCATTTGGAGATCATGTCAGCCATAGTCCCCTGAGCTGTAAGATTAACCTCCCGACAATGTATGTAGAAAACATAGTCAAACTGCTTATAGACTCCCTCTGATGCCCAGTCCAGTATAATCTTTCTTACTGTCGTTGTCTTCCCAATTCCTGCAGCTCCCAATATCACTACAGTCTTTGGTGCCTGTCTGTCCCTCTCAGGTTTAAAAAGATCACTTACAGCAATGGAAGAATTCATTTGTTCGTCCATGATTTCTGCATGTCTCTGTCCCACAGCCATGATTTCATGTTCTTTCTTTTTTTCATGGCGATGTCCACTAGCAAGAACTAGCCTTGTATATCTGGAGTTCAGAGCCACTGTCTCACCAATACGAGCATTCATGTCTTTTATCCAGTGAAAATTCCTTTGTACATGTTCTCTGTACTTCATCTTGTAATCTAAATCAAGGATATGCAATAAAAAAAAAAAATGAAATTAAAGTCAATGTTCATTCTCTTGTTAAAATGAAAACATTTTGGCTGCAGAATTATTGTACCTTGAGATTACCTCATCTCTTTCATTTTAAAGGATCTCTGAATCGTTCAATAGGCCTTGTTCTTCTAATTTTATTATCGATGATAAGATGAAATAAAGTCCGAAATGCCCATCACCCATCACTGAAATGCAATCACACCTCAGTTGAACTTAAAAATAGTGCTAAGAACCAGTTCCTACTACTGACCTCTATTGCAGTTCACTTCCCCCTTATTGCCCGCCCCCCCCCCAGCCCCAAGCTACTTGCTTATTTTCCTGTTGGGGCTTCAGGGCTATATGGCGTATATGATCATACACTTTCAACTAGTAGGAGGAGTGTGTAGGTGATAAAACCCCAACATATCTATCTCAGTGAGACATACCTTGGACTAATGAAGCAGAGGGTGGATTGGGCCTCAGGGCTGAAAGAGAAATTATATGTAGCTATTAGTGTAGTAGTGCTACAGAGAATGTCAGTGTTGCGTCAGGCAGGGAGCAGAACAGTCCTCTTGGTGTCTTTGCCTTTAGAAACTCCCCTAAATACATTGGGCAAGGCAGAGCAGACAAGACAGCAGAGCAAATGCCTCTGGACACCCTAGTATCCTTATGACCAGGAGCAGGTGGTCCTGCAGAGTATGCAGAGGTTGAGGCATCAGTCACCTAAATGATCAGGAAGACCAATGACAAAAGGACAGTTATGCAATTCCAGGCATAAGGAGGTAGCACCCTGCAGTCCTTTGGGTTTTCAGATTTCCACAGGGGATTGAAATCTGCTGTCTCCCTGTTTGATGAAAGTTCTACACATTTTCTGGGAATAATCAAAAAGAAGGATACAAAAGTACCAGCACCCAAAGTTCCTTTACCTTTTTGTTTATCCTGTTTGAGTTTAGCTGCAGTGTCTCTTTGGTTGATCCATTCAAGCACACAGATAGCTACATCCACAGCAATGTCAGCTCCATAGTGGTCACACATGTAGTCTGCAAGTTCAACTGGATTGTTGGCTTTCTTGAGCAAATACTTGGAGAGATTTGCTGTCTTATCATAATCAATATATGATAATTTATACTTAAACTTCTCAAACATATCCAGTGTAAGGTCCTCCAGTGCTTCCAAAAGGAAGTCCTTGATATTCTTTCTTGCCATCGTAGTATGCTAAAGATACTCTGGAAAACAGCAGAGGTTCAACAACAATTTGTTTTCTGAGAGCCACCACGCACACCCTTGGAAGAGACTCACTGACTGTTACAGGGCAGTGGCTGCAATCTGTATGGTCCTGGAGCCAATCCTTATGCCATCGCAGTCACTTCTAACTCTCCTGTGTCAATTCTTCCAGGAATATGTTAGTCCACAGAGTCTGGATCACTGTACCTCTCACTTTACCCACAGTGCCTCCCTGCAGGAGGGTGAAGTGCTCCTAATTCAGGATGACGGATGGGGCTTTCCCTGAGTGACATGTTAGTATATTGATAAAGTGGATTCCTCAGCCATTCCTTACTGAACAGTTGTCAAAACCCTTGGAGGGTTTTCCACTTGGAGCCAGAAAGGGTCTTATTGAAAAGTGGAATATGGCCTGTACATTGGCCACAAACACGCTTTCCAAAAGAGAATATTCCTCTATCCTTTCTTCTGTATGGCTTCATTTCAACAGCAAACTGTGAATGCAACCAGGATTCACTAGGGAAAGGTTGAGCATGAGGATGCAGTCCTACAACTGCCCAGCAAACATGTCATCCAAATGTTGAGAGAGATGATATAGTATTATACTGGAGAAAAAGGAGTCATCCCTACCATCATTTCTGTATGCACTACTCTTCACCCTCCACTTACACTGGTTTTGGAGTTACTTTCTGTTGGCTGGACACATTCCGTGTGATAAGCATGGATGAATCCAGTCCTATAGAGTCCAACTCTGTTGAAAAAGTGTCATACAACCCTTAAAGTATCCACTGAGTCTGTTTTGATAATGTTACTGATGGCTTAATTTTCACTCCAAGGATTGTGTTTTAAAACCTTATTGCTTTTTTTTTTTTTTTTTTTTTTTTTTTCACTTATGAATATATAGTGCAATTACTTTCTTCACTGTTCCTGAAAACTTCCAAATATACACAAGTATATTTTCACTGGTTTGTATTCTGTCAAAACTAAAAATGCAAACAGTTTTTATGAGATAAAATGGATGATCACAAAAAGTGTATGAAAGGATACTCTTTAGGATGTAGAAATATGTTTTGGGCTTGTGATAAGCCCGTCTGAAGTTCTTCAAATCTATTAATCAAGAGAAGGAAAAAGAGGATCTATTTATTGGGGATGGGGGGGGGGGGGTGGGGGGGGTGGGGGTGGACTGAGAGTGCGAAAGAGGCTCAATTCCTTATATGTATGAAGCAGAAATATCCCATGCAGAGAAAGTCTAAGGGAAGTCGTGATCAAAACCTGACTGCAGGTGCATAAATACAGGGAAAATGAAAAAACAAAACAAAACAAAACAAAACAAAAAACAACGTGAAAGCTCGTAACTTGGGGAGTGGGTCCAAAGAAATTATTAAAATGACTGAATAATCTGAAAAATACCCTTTAGAGCTTTCAGAACTGAGGAGGAGAAAATATGTTTGTATTTGTGCATTTTATCAGTCAAAACAGACATGACTGCTAAGGTGTTGCTGCAAAATAAAACTCAGCATAACTGAAGGAGTTTGTTTGAAGTTTCTACTGAAAAACTTAAGTGGACCTGAGAAAAATGGGGAGGGGAGTATTTTTAAAATTATTTTACAAGTCCTCTGCCTGCCTGGCAGATCAGAAGCTTTACATGTAGTTTCATAGTGCCTTTATGTTCCCTTCAAATAAAAGAAAGGAAGACTCTGATACATTATCTCACTGCAAGGCCAACATCCTCAAAACTCTATATGCCACACCAAGTACCACCCTTTACCCTCCTGAACAGTCCTGTACTAGCATCTCAGCCTGTATTTGATGTTTGAAGAGCTAATATTTGGAACAAATATTAGCGTTGATAGAAGCAGAAGGAAGGACAGTGTATTTCTAAAGAGGAACTGTTGCTAATAGCATTCTCTACAGCACACTTCCAACCCCGTGAGAAATGAGGAAGTTCTTTTTCCTCTCTCCCCAGCCACACCACTGAGCAGAGCATTTCTGTTGTCATACACAGAGACAGGAAATGAGTAAGTAATTTACAGGTCTGACCCAGAGCACAGAGGCTGGATGCTACTTCTCCTCAGCTGATCTAACAGCAACAAGCCTCCATGAGAGCAGATCTTCTCTTTGTGTCACTCCATGCTGGCTGAGCACTCTCAAGGTTTCTGGTCTCACTGACAATTCTTTCATTTCTCTAGCAAAGGAAGTCTTTTCACAGTCCACATGCTGTTAAAGTCCTTCTGCAAACAGAAATAAACATTCGTTCTGTGTCCAGGATAAGAGGCAGGCCCTGACCCACTCCAAGAAGCCTCCATAAAATGAATCATTCATCATAACGCTAAAACCAGATAAGAAAGAGACAGGAAAAGGCCAGTGTATAGTGACCAGTTCTGCAGAGAGGTGTCTCTGGAATTGAAAACCTTATGCCCTGACCCAGCCAGACAGCATCAAACCTTACACCCCTACAACACATGGTAACCAAATATAAGCACCATACTCAGGCTGAGCAGATTTTCAGGGGATTGAGCACTCACTTGTCATCCTGGTCCCTCAAGGAGCCCTGCTGCATGGAAGTCTCAATTCCTACAAAACATGTGCTCACAAGAGCATGTCCTTAACCCATCTTGCTGGGTAGGAAAGCCAGAAATCCAGAGCCAAGAACACAACAAAAGCCAAGTGCTCATGGTCAGACAGCTGGGTGAAGGAGTCCCAACCCTTTTCTACAGGTATCACCATGCTGAGGCCTCATCTCATGTCTGGGAAGAGCTGCATTCATCTCTCAAAGGGGCTGTTTCTGAGGCATTGGTTGATCTGTCCCATAAAACACAAGATGCTGCTGGAGACACTCCTCAGAATCATCTCTGACAAATAGAGACAGGGTTTGGGAAGATTCTCAGACACTGAGAAATACAGGTAGAGCCCAGCTCTGCAGTCTGGGCTTAGGACCCCCACAGACTAAGGGATGTTCCCCTCATGTTGATGGTGGGACTGGGGATGGGCTCTGGGTCCAGGCTTACCCATGTCCCATACCACACTGCTAGTGCCTGTCCCTGGCCTGCTGCACCTTGAGAAGCCAGGAAAGAGCCATGCCCCTTTGCCCAGCTCACACTCTTGAGGCACAAGCAGGAGTGGAGAAGGACATGACCCCAGGGCTTCCACAAGAGGTGCTTACCTTGTAGTGCTGCAGAACTGGTCCAGCAGGAAATGTGGATCCAAGGGTCTGTTCCAAAAGAGCAGCAGAGTCAAGGAGCTGCAGAAATTCTCTGATCCCCGCCCAAGAAGAGTTTCCCTTTTGACATGCAACTCTTTGCCTGCCCTCCCTCCTTCCTTCCCCACTGGTCTCCACCTCCCCCTTGCCTGCAGGACCAAACATCTCATAGGGACTGGGCAGGGGTCCAGCTGCACCCAAAGCTGGATAAGGTAAACATTGTCTGTGAGGGATGAGTTTGAAAGGATTCACTCCTCCATCCCTGGGAATTGTCTTTGGAAGAGGAGGTGAATTGGCCAAAACGGAAGTTCTCTCTCCTGGTCTGTCTTTGTCATTTGCTGCTGAAGGCTCATGTTTTCCCCTGGGGACAGGGAGGATCACATGCAGCTCCTGCTATTTGTCCTAAACTAGAGTTAGCTGAAGCACAGTCTGTTCTTGCCTGCCAGCCCTGGGCAAACTAAGAAACACACTAGCCTTCTCTCTGGAAGATGGAAGATGCTGAGGCTCAACTATCAAATAACAAATGAATAGATATAAACCCTCCTGAGAAAGAACTCACTACCAACAGATGTCCTACTACTTTCCTCCCAGTCTAACTACTCCTGTCCTCATCAAAGTACTATTGGAGCCCTGTCCTCTTAAATTTCTTTACATTTTACTTCTGTGAAGTGCCTTCACCTCACTCTTTTCTCTCAGGTCTCAAGGGTCACTCCATAGACATAGGTCAGTCCCAGGGTCCCAAGCCCATCCCATAAGCTGCTCTGCTGTACCCCCATTCTCTTGAGAAATATCTGGTCTGTGGAGGTTGAGAGGAAACCAAACAAGCTGGCAGCAGTCTCTGAGCTCTGATGTTTGGTACCTATAATATGTACTAGTTTCTGAAGGTCTTACAAGGAGGCCACTGTGAAAATCAAGCTGAATTTACAGCCTAGGCACATTTTTGGGCTGGGAAAAAGGCTAGCATTACTCTGCATAAGTTTTGTTACTCATTGACTATGTTTCCTTATCTGGCATATTTTTGGACCTATAGACTGTTTTCCTGTTGGACTGACAGGAGGAGGAGTGGATGTATGTGATGTGTTGAAACCTCATGTTCTTCCTTCTGTATACATAAGTCAAGGTTTTCTCTTAAAACAAATGAATGCTAACACAGAAGAGCTTGGAAGGAAGTGCCCCTTTGGCAATATTGCCTACCACTCAAAGGCAGCTTCTATGGGTAAGTGCTTTTGGCTGCATCTTTCAGCTTACAACCCTCTGAATGTGCACCCAACCCACAAAAGCAAAAAGGATCAGTGTTTGCCCTTTTAAGAAAGAGTCATGAGGAGAAGCTGCCTATGGGATGAGGCACATAACATCTGCACCATGCAAAGACCCTGCTGCAGAGTTCCTGGGGCTGTAGTGACAATGCAAGGATTCTGCGGAGCCTCTCTCTGGCTACCCCATTTGCAGGAGGATATTAAAGAACTGCCAGAGACAGCACCATGCTTGGGGATGGAAGGGGACTCTAGTGTTGGTGCTGCCTACAGGGAAATTAACTCAGAGTCAGCAGCCATAGTGGAAGGGAAGCAGTACAACAGATGCTGGATGCTGTGAGAACAGTCTAGCCTGGTCTGATTGTGTGGCTGAGTAATTAAGACTGCACAAGTGGAGTATGGCTTGCTTAACTGGAACAGGAAAGAAGCTGTTTCAAGAAGCATTTACAGTCTAAATGGCTCTACATGTCCATCTGGCCTTTGGGATGCCTAGAAAAAAAAAAACATGACCACCATGATTTTTCACACTAAGTATGTGCTCCTGGGACCCAACCACAGAGCTGCAGGTCTTAGAGACCGTGGTTTCATCATAGAAATGTCACATCTTCTTTCTGGACAGGAGTGAGGGTTTGAATGACTAAACTTGTTGAGGTTAGTTAAATAGATTTTGCCATGCACCCTTCTGGAGGCCATTTTGGAGCCAGTAGTAGTTCAGTCAGAATCTGAAAAACGTTGTGGGCCCTGTTCTCCAAGAAGTGGTTAACATGTTTTTAAAAGCAAGGGGGGAATTTGTCTTGCATAGACTGATTTAGTCACGTGTTTTAACCACAGTATCCTGCTTCAAGCAGGCAGCAGTTTGTAGCTTGTGAGAAAAAAGTCAGTGCTGTTTTTTTTCACTGCCAACCAAATGGCTAGGTTATCTATCAAAATATCCTACGGTATTTCCAGTTGGCCCCTTCCTAGTATTGGTGAGTGGAAAATCAGCAGCCTGTTCTCCCACCTTCTGAGGTCTGTACATTAATGCTCATATTGCTCCTTGTCTTAACTGTTTTCTCTCTAGATCCATCTCTCTTTTTGTTATGATCCATAATTTTGAGCCTGAGTAATTTGAAAGGGGCGTGAATAATTAAAATTCCTTTAAGCTCAATAGGGCCAGAATTCACAGCCTTCCTGGTCTCTTAAAAGTGCCAAGAAGTCTCTCTCTTTCCCTGAGGAAAGCCCAAGAAAGACAAATTTAATAAAAAGGAAATCTAGGCTGTAACAGATGGTTTTCTAGCTCTCAGTGGTCACTGCATAGGACAGTGGAATTTCAACAATTTCCACCCAACTTTCATAAGAGAGAGCACAGTACAAACCAAGCATAATAAAACTTTATTTTGGTGTATATTAAGAAAACCTAAAATGCAGGCACCATATACTTAACAAAAGAGAAAAATATTCTAAAGAAGAGATGGAAATGAAAATACTGTACACTGAAGTGAATGCCTTCAGGTCCCATGTAGTTATCTGCACTAGAAAATTAACACTAATAAAAGCTTCTAAAAATGTAAACTATACAATGCTCCTTTTGTACCTGGGATCTCTAAGCAGAAAAACATTACTTCTGTAGACAATAATGTAATACGACCAGAGATGGTATTTTTAAAACACAGTAAGTATAAAGATCAATTTTAAGTTTTTGAAACGATCTAAGCAGCTTGGATTTTTCAGTGCAATGTATACAGGAGTAGTAGAGCTAACTATTCCTGCTTAGCAGAGTGATGAGGGAAATTTCTTAGGGAAATAAGAAATAACAAAAATTTTTCTAACATTTAATGAAACTAAGCTAGGCAAGCGTTCCACAGTATTAACTGTCTAAGAAGGCTTCCAGACAGTATTAATTGAAGAGCACCTTGATGAAGTAAAGGGACTCATAGAACTACAGGATCTGGGGGGGTTAGGTTATTGATTCTTTAGATGTTTATTGGTAGCAAAGCTGACCCATGATGTTATCCTGCTGTATGTTCCTTCCTGCTCTTCTTCAGCCCACTGCTGGCTCACTTACCCAGTACCTGAAAGAGCAAACAATGTTTGTTCTAAATTCTTAATCTAATTTCCTGCAGTGGTGCTGTTTCTGTTAATCTGGAATGGATTGGACATTTTTTTTTGTCATTTTTGCTACCTGATCTTCAGAATTCTCCCTCCTCTTTTTCTGTCCCCCTTTTCACATTTGTTGGCTTTTGAGACTCTTCCTTTAATTGCTGGTCTGAACATTTATTCAGACTTTGTGCTCTGCCACTTGAAACAACCAAGATATCTGATAGAACATGAGATGCTCTGGACTAGCCTGATGCAAAGGCAATTTGGGAATAAGGTTCAATTTGGAGGTTACATTAACTTATCTTGTGGAAACAAGGACAGCTGAACAGATGTCAATGCTTGGGGGGTTATAGAAGGGTGCAAAGCCAAATAGTCACTCCTTGAACTTGCTTCCTGTGTTCTCAGGGTCTGAATTTTGTGTTTCCTACCTCAGAAAAGAAACAGTTTGATACTCATTATTGTATTGAAGGTGATGCTTTTTGCCAGCAGGACTCTCAAACCCAAACCAAACATGAACAGCATATTCACTTTCTTAATTTTGACATCTGCTTTAAAAAAAGAGAAGAGGGAAGAGAGTGTGGTCTTGATATTATCCCCAACACCTACCTCACCCCCCCCCCAAAAAAGAAGGAAAATTCACACATCATAGGTGGATGAGAGAAGCAGGAACAAAGGAAAAGGTGACAGAGCAATGTATCAAGTGCAGGGAAGAGAGAAGTTGTCTGCCCAATAAAGAATATACTTTTAATTTATCACAAAAAACTTTGTCATCTATTTAGTCTGTTAATCTGAAACAGCAGGTTATTTCTCAATAAGTATTTCCAATTCTGACATTTCTGCAACAGAGAAAGCAATTTTTCATGTCTTAGTATTGAGTACACAAAAAGTGCAGGGTGTTGCTTAATAAATGTCTACAATTCAGACATTTCTATACCAAAGACAAGACATTTTCATGCATTGTTACTGAATCCTCAATTAAGTAATTATACTCTATTGTTCCTTTAGGCAACTAACCTTTTGTAAAGGCATCTGTAACATTTCAAGCAATAACTGTTTCAAAGTCTTCCGTTTTCTCTTCTGTTGAATGATTGAGAGACACTATAAATTGTATCCAAACTATATAAACCAGAAATTACTCAAAACATACCTATGGGTCTTTTCCCAGCAGTAGGTAAACAGTAATGTAGAATCAGATGCCATTAATTCTGAGATTAATTCTGGTCATTAATTCACCTTGTGCAGGTCACTTCTGCATCTGGTTTCACTCCAGCTACCTTCATGGTACTATACATCCCCTCAGATGTGACAAGATGTGCCTTCAGATCATATACAATGTCACTCTCAGACACATCAAGGTTGATTATTTTAGGGTAGAAAGTCCTTGCCAGACAAGCCATGTTTAGTTTGCTGTCATACTGTTTGAGTTCCTTTGATTTGAGTACAATGACTGCTGGGGAAAATTATTCTTGACTCTCTGAAAAAGAAGAATCGTTTTGGGATGACTTTATTTTCTGCATACTTTCTGATAGCTAAACATCTATAGTTCAAATATAGTCCAGCCACATCTGCCCCTAATGGCTGAGTGCCTTTCTGTCTTTATTTCTTCTTCCTGGTTCCCAAAGAGCAGATCAAAGACAGAAATGGAGTATAAGGGTGGGAATTTCATTAGAGCTTTTAGTCACTT